CTGTATGCCGCCGAGGGGCAGTTTTGGGGTGCTTTCCCCATCCCAGGGGGCTGCAGAAGGCGTCCGCAGCCGGGACAATTCGCCCCCCCAGCCGAGGCCGGTCGAAGCCCACTTGACCACAGCCATGAGGAGTCCTCTTGGTGCTCCTGGCGCCCGTTGGAATGGCGAGCGCGCGCCGATGGGGGGGGGGGGGTCTTGCTTGCTCCACACCGAGCGCCATCGGTCCGGACCGGTGCTTGCACCGAGGGGAGGCCTGCACAAGGTCTGAGCCGCGGCCGCTCGGCGCCAAGTGCAGTGTCACGCGCGCACAAACTGGCAATTCTCGTTTCCTATTCACGGGGTCCCCCAACGGAAGAGGCCTTGCTCCTATTGGAACACTCCAACATCAGATTTGCCTCGTGCGTCCCTTTTTGACGCGGAAAGCTATTTTCTTTTGGGTCCTGTGGGCACCCTAGCCTGGGCGACCCCAGACCCTTGGCGGACGATCATGACGTCGGCCGGGACCCCCCGTGCGGGGGCCTTCCAGCACACACACACACACACACACACACACACACACACACACACACACACACACACACACACACACACACACACACACACACACACACACACACACACACACACCGCCCTTGCTTTTGTTTTTTTACAGCTGGCTCCAATTTTTTTAGGAGTTGTTGGTAGGGCGGCTGCATGTGCAGGATGTCGACGAGCGACACAGAAGACGGCAGCAGCACCGACGCTGAAGCCGACGGTGAGGAGCTCGAGGCAACCGACGGTGAGGAGCTCGATGCCAGTGCCTTCGTCGCGTGGGCGTCGCAGCCAGGCCGTCTCGCCCTACTCCGCAAGGAGGACCCGCGGCGGCACCACGTTGCGCACGACGATGCTGTTGCGCACGACGATGCTCGGCAGCGATGCGACACCTGCACAACTGCCGGCTGCGCTGAGTGTGAGGCTGGCAAGTGGGCTCGATACGCCTACAGGATACGCTACTTCGCCGACTGCGAGACTCTCTCGAAATGCGTCAGCGACAAGATCGACCGTGACCTGCCTGGCTTCGACTGGGACTTGAGCGCCTCCTGCACCTGCTTCTCCTGCTTCATCTGCGGCCCGGCTCTGATCTCCAAGTTCCTGTACTGCGAGAAGATGGTGCGCGAAACGCCCTGGTTTGACGACAAGGAACTCGACTCGCGCGGAGCTGGCACAGGTGGCGGCGGGCAACTTGGGCCCGTGCTGCAGCGCGCGGCCGACCACGCTGACTTCTTCGCCAAAGTGCAGCAGCTGGCGCAGATCACAGAGCGCTCCGACTCCACGCTCACGCGCGAGCGCTTCCGCGTGTTGCTGGGCGACGTCGCGATCCCTCAGCCCCTCTCCGACGGCGCCTCCCCGCCCTACATGAATCGCGTCTGCCACGCGACCCTCGCCGCCCTCAACCAGCTGCGTCGCGAGTCCGGTGCGAGGGCCGACACCATCGGCGCGCTCAAGAACTCCTTCACGAGCTTCGACACGGACGCGCTCAAGTCCAACTTTGAGGGGACGGAGGAGGACTCGTACTGCCTCGGCTGCCGCGGGGCTGCCGTCGACTACGGGTATGAGTTTGCAGCTCCTACGGCGGGCGGGTTCAAGCTCTACGTCGGCGTGACGAACAAAGACGTGCGGCGGCATACGGAGCACCGCGGGGGTGACGACGGGACGGGGACGCTCGGGGCCGGCTTCATCAAGAAGCTGTGTCGGCCGGACCCCGCGCGGCCACCCGATGTCTTTGGCGGTTGGAGACTGCACGACCGCGAAGAGAGCCGCAGCGGCGATGTCGTTAAGCTCGCGAACCACGTCTCGTCGGGCAACTTCACCTGCATGGACGAGGACGCGAAGACCGAGCTCTTGGCCGCGATCCTCGGCCAGAAGCACGTGCGTGGCGGCAGCTACGTCCGCAGCGGCGCGCTTTCCGACTTCCAGAACACGGTCCTCGAGATGAAGCGGCGGCAGGTGCAGAAGCTCTGCAACAAATGCGGCGCGCGCGACCACTTCGCGTCCGCCTGCACAAACGCCGCCGACAACGTTTACCGGCAGTGGCAGGGCCGCCCCTTCTTCTCCGCGCGCGTGCAGCGCGCCGACGACGACGAGGCCCTCTCCGCCTTCAGGAGGCTCCGTATGTCAGACCGTGACCCGGACGCCAACAACAGCCACGATGAGAACTACGCCCGCATCCGCAACGCCGCCAGCGCCGCAAGGGACACGCTCGGCGACAGTCTCAAGCTTGCGTCCGTGCTGTCGAGCTCATCGGAGGGGGGGGGTGGACAGGGGCAGGGCGGCCGCAGCGATCCACTCTACCCAGCGCTCGTCGACGCGCTCTTCGGCGACGACGACGACGGTAAGCTTGCCTCGGTGCGGCTGCGTCCGAAGCAGGTCGAGTCGCTGCAGATGTGCTGTGGCGACGATGGCGGCGACGCGCGCCGCAGCCTCGTGCTCTGCCTGCCCACAGCATACGGCAAGACGCTCATCTTTGCCACTGCCGCCGTGCACGAAGTGCTCTTTGGCCGGGGCAAGGCGGTCATCCTCGTGCCGCTCTGCGCGCTGATGACGGACATCTGCAACGTTTTTGCGTCCATGTCCGAGACGGTCGAGGAGTACGAGGCTGATCCGCGCGTCCCGTCCATCTCGTCGGCCTACGGGGGCGAGATGTGCGTTGTCGACAAGCCGCCAGGCCACGGTGGAGACTGGCAGCCGCGGTGGCAGTCGCGCTGCATCCGTTGGACCCGCTGGCAGGGGCGGACGGGCGACAGCAAGATGGCGCAGCACGTGAAATCGGACAACTTCAAGGAGGCGGACATTGTCCTCGCCACGCCCGACATGTGGATGCACGGAAATGAGAGCGACGCCTTTGTCCGCACCTTCAAGGCGGTGTTTGCGCCTAAGTGGGGCACGGTCATCGTCGATGAGGCGCACCTCTTCTCCGGCGTGCTGGGCGGCGAGCT